GCTGTTGGGTTTTGTTGTTATTTATTATGTTATATTTTGCTGTATTTGTTGTTGGAGTTAACTAATGTATTGGGCCACACTTTAGGTTTAAACATTTGCCTTGAAGCCCTTGGCGATCTTGATTTTACATGACATGCCAAATGTCTGTTTCAAAGATTACGCCCGAACATTATCATTTGAATTGTGTTTTTGTACTTCTGACTTTAAACTTATGCTTCATTTAGTTGATTTCATTAAAAAGTTCTTACTAAAAGTTTATAAGAAGCTGTGGGCGTCTAGTGTTTAATTTACACATAATTTCGTATAATTTAAGTGACTTTATTATTTAACATTACAAAAAATTTAAGCTTGTTGCCCAAGCTCATTCCCTAGGTGCTTAAATTATGTACTACTTCGTTACCCAAGTTTTATCTTGGTAAACTTAACGTCTTCACAAAAAAGAATACAAGATTAACAGAATTTTCAACTTTTTGAACTCTTTTAAAAATGTACTGACAATTTTTCTTTTTTTTTTAAATCTCGCTTGGTGCCCGTAAAAGATGCATAAAGGCAAAAGTAGTTCGTAATAATGGATGAATTTTTTTAGCACTTCTATCCTAAAGTGAATTTTGCACAACTTTGACTCTAGACTAGAGCAAATATTGAATCCAGTGAAATTGAGTTCGAAACGAACCAGCAACAAAAGTTTTGAAATTTTAATTTCTTTATTAAATTAAATTTTCATAATCAATATGACTCAATGAAAATTTTCTTATTTGTATACAGAATTCCCTTATCTAACTCATTCTTTGACAGACTTAAAATACCTCTTTCCAAAAGTAAGATAGCCTAAACTATTCAGGAATATAGATTCTCTTCACAAAGCTGGGATTTGTATCCTTGACAGCCCTATTTACCTGCGCCGCTAAATCTCCTAAGGGATCAGCCAGGACAACGGTCCCATCAACACGCTGTCGGGTTAAACCCTACCCGTCTCTGACCCGTAATCGAGGTCCAATTCTTTTTCTCTGAATCCAGATTTTATGAGTCACGTATGAAAATTCGACTGGCCAAATCTGCGGAACATTTATGACTATTTTGCCACACAATCAGTAATAGCGCCCATAAAGTGTTACAAAAGATCGCTTACTATTGTTCCTAAATCATAAAGGGGCCATAAAACAATCCTTATATCGATAACTTGGCCATTTGCAATCGCATCCACAATTCTACACACGGACCCCACGTGCGGCCACATCTCATTAATGCAATCGATACGCCCTCACTAAAACATTATGTTAGTAACGCTATAGCACTACTTTATTGCCGTGCAAACCGGTTGAGTTCAGACGCTTTATCTCGCCGTGGACATCCATACTCAGAACCGGCTTCTCGTATGCGTCGCTTGTTTTATGATTGTCAATAGCGACCGCCGCGCCGCATCGCGCCGATACGTTTTATGTTTTTCGTCGATTCTATTGTCTATAAAACGTGCTCGATCCGATTCGTGAGACCTTTTACATCAAGCTTAGCTATTTTCAATTTATTCTGAACTGCATCATTTACAAATTCTTAAAGCAACACAGCTTTGAAGCGACGGTCTTCAGACGACAGCTGCATTCAAAGGGCATTATAAATGCATTAGCCTTAAAGAATTCTTTAACTCTGTACTTTTTGATTCACACACTCACATATGTTTAATATTCTTGACGTGTCAGGACAAGAGTTAGGAAGGATCCCAAATAATAGTAACTTTATATGAAGTCGATCACACCAGTCTAGACGATGTGAATTTGGAATTGAAGATTTCATGAAAACGTACAAAGCTTTTAAAATCCAACGACATGCGTCCAAAAACGTCGTAAAATAAAACTGACTTTGTGATTCATTTTATAAAGAGTAATTGGAGTCCTAAAAATTCCTCGCCTTAATAAGAAGAAATGACCATTCATTAACTAAAGCGTGTCTAATCAATCAGTGTCTACGAACTTTAATTAAGGACAAGTGTCGGTTTCTAGATCGGCGGTAATTTGATGATGTTCAGAAATGTTAAAGTGTAGTCAGGGGTCATGTTGATATTCAGTGAGTTTTTTTCGTCGTTTATTTCTCCTAGCTGTGGGCACGCGAGGGCACGACCTCGCGCGTGACGTCACGCCTCAGATGAATGAACATCCACCCCACCCCCTCCTCCCACCACCCGACGGTCAGCTTGCTAGCGATGAGCACCGTTATTGCAGTCAAAACATCTGTCGTTGAGTCAAAACGACCTTTAACGTAGAAACCGTCGACGATGTTTTCACGTAATACGAATATTCTGTAAAGCAATGGACTTAAAGGGAGTTTTGTGAATGGGTGATTTTGGTGATACTTTTTCTAATAAACAATCCTAGTATTCATATAAATTCCTTTTTTGGAGTTGGTAAAAGTATACACAAATTGTACAATACATCTTATCAGTTTTATTTGCAATTCAAACAAAAATTCGAAAAATGACTAAAACGATGTTGAACCTTGAATGATTATGACATATTAATTCACTTATTAAGCAACACGTGTCGTATATAATTATTGTTTTATTTTTTATTTAATTCACATAAAACAAGTTTCAAACACTGTCTTAATAAAATTGACTAACAAGTATCAAGTAAGTATCTGATAGATCTTACTGGAACAGGTACTTAAACTGATAATTCTAGGGAGAATTGTTACTGTATTTCATTTTATGCGAACGTTGGACTTAAGCAACAAGGATATTCGAACAAAGAAATGTTAAACATGTACTTGAATAGAAAATAATAGTACCGTCGAGTAGTATGGTGAATCCGGCTCCGTTTCTTGGTGCAACAACGCCCAAGGGTCTTGGTCAAGTTCCATATTTGGTTTACGGTGAGTCATCGGAGTGTGCACACGGACTCACGTTAACTGTTACCATATCGAGGCCGTTTTAAGGAGAATCTAAATCGATAGAAGTACTCGAATAAATGTTGATAGATGTGCCTTCGGCAGCCTCGTTTATTTTATCCATTTGTCAGATACGAATAGATAGATCACGTGTAATTTTCGCTTCGCCATTTCTATTCGCGTTACTTTTATTTGAGTTATAGAGTTTATAATAAACGTTTCTGTCTTCTAAACTATTTCTCTGGGAATTATTTTAATGCTATCTTGGGATAAATATGAAAACGAACAAATAACTTTTACTTCTTTTCGTTGTTATGAACTTTTCATGGTTTCTTTTACAACAGAAGCGTCTGTTTTGTTGAATATAATGTTCTTAAATCCAGCTATTCATCTTTTTTTATTACTGGGAGATAAGTTAGTTCATTAAGCTGAAACTTCGTCTTAACTAAGGTTGGTGCAAAAACTGCCCACACTAGCGCTCAGGGCCCGATGACGTGGTGTCTCCCTAAAATGGAAACGAGTTCGTGGAAGCCATACATACCTCGACGATTCTTTGCTAGTGCATAACATGGAATTCTATGAAATAAACGGGCGGTAAACTCTTCTACATGGAATGATTGGTAACAAAGAAAGACACGTTGGAAAAGTGGAAAAAATCCTTAGAAATTATGTGAAATACTTTGCGTCATATATGACAGAGAAAGATGAACTAAAAATATCAAGTGCTAAGTTTAATGCTGACATAATGAATGCACAATACAATCTATTGTATGTTTTCCCGTATTGAGCATAATCATCTTCAATACATACGTTGCTTTTATAAAGTAAACGGAAGAACGATAAGGTTGTCCTTGTTTAGATACGTGCCTGTGTATGCATATATGGATTAATGTGTGTATGTATGTGCGAGCGCGCTTTGACCTTCCGTGGCCGGTGGACGTACGCTAAACGAGCCCACCGAATGATTTCGTTAACAGCTCTTTGAGTATTATAGAACAGATGAATGATTTTAGTGAGCTATAAAAAGTTCTCTATCTTGGTTAGCTAGAAAATGGCGTGTTGTATCAATTCTTACTTCAAAGCATTTTCTATTCAAAATCCTTATTTCCATACTTAGGTGCCACATGATTGTGTTAATACCTGTTTATATTAAATGCAAAAAAAACTTAATTAGTATGTTAATTATGCTGTATTGAAACTGAACTGTACATTTGCTACGAGGAATACTGCTTACGTTTTTTAAACTCTATGATAACCTTGACTTTTTGATTGTACATTCTGTGTCAAATACCATATTATTGTAAAAAGTTATTCATTAAAAAACTCATGATAACGAAACTGGTATTCGTTGATTAAGAGTCAATTTAATGTAGTTTTCGTGAACCGAAGTGTAAACACAAAAAAGAACACTTTTTCTCGAAAACGTGTCGAAACATTCCGATACGATCCTTGACATTAAACGAGGCCCAGATTTTTTGAAATGTTTATAATTTTTTTGAAATATTTAAAATGTATAAATGTTTAATGAGTATGAAATACTATAAAAACAGATTCGTGACCTAGGTTTCATTTGGTGAGTAAATGAAAAAATCTGTTCTGAAACAGGTTTCGTTACGGCCTTTGTGGCATAATTTAGACCTCTTATAAAATCAGCAGAGTTTGGAATCACAAATTAATTCTTATATCACAGCGCCGAAGCAAAACGACGCGCCGTTGATCATATTGTCAAACCGTATGCATCATGTCCTCGATTTCATTTCGAACGGATAGCCATTGGTGCTCATTTTTTTAGCACACTAAAGAATCCTCAGATACCTATCAAACTAGTTCTGGCGACGTAATGATCAAGCAACATTGACTTGACGGAGACTTCCACTTTCATATATAACGGCGCAAAAAACGCTGACTCGCCGCTCAAATGGGTTTTTTGTTACACCATTTCTTGACGAGCCACAGCGGAAACACCCGTACATTATGGAACGCTCGGATAAAACTATTCAATATGTCTTCGTCCCACTTCCAAGACACGACAACATGCAATTTCATGTACCAATTTATTTTTTGTTTTTCTGCCTATGGGAGGGGCTAAAACTACATTTTTTCTTTTTTTTTCTTTTCAGTTACATTTGTGCGGGGCTTCTCCCATGTAGTCTTTCACTCGGGCGGTGATGGCTACGGATGACCTTGATTTAGTGGCTATTTTTGTGATTGGTGCTAGTGAGTGATTGACAGCGAGAGTGCTTGTCGACGGCTAAAGCCAGTGTGATTAGTGTTATGCCAGTGGTGCCAGTGATGTGACAGTCTATGGAAGCGTCAGGGTATACTCGGAATGTTCACGAAGCACGGCAAGCCCGCTGAGCGGTGCCATCATCCTCACTCGCATAGGGGCTGTAAGAAGAAAAAACCGGCTCCGCACACGCCCTGGAAGTACTTGATGAATTGCCCACTCGTTAGAAAATGTTTTGGTACAGTATTTATTTTTCATTTTATTTTATTTTGTGATTATACAATTGGCGTTGGTGTAGGTGAACTAACTCATTTCAATGAGGTCAAGATTGTAATCAATGCATTTAATGTTTTCTTAATTGCTTAATAAATTAACTGGATTGAATTCAGTAAAATGTATACCTATATACAAGGTGTAGAGTTGAATAAGTTTGAATAAAGCATTGATCAGGCACTAAACTTGTGTACATAGCTAAGTGGTAGCTAGATATAGTTAGTAATGGATCTATAATGGGTTCGACGTGAAGTGGTTTATCTCTGTTCTGATAGTCGGAGATAAAAATTATCAGTCAGAAATCGATCATTTGGTAGGACTCGAACAATTTGACGACAGTTCACCAGTTGCTCGGATTAGAGTTTGTAAGTAGAATAAAATTTCTTGCATAATGGTTTTATTAAAAATGATCAATGATGAAGGATCAACGTTCAAAGTTGGCGCTAAATGGGTAAAAGTTTTGCTTGGCCTCGTCGCGGATGGATTCTGCCATTAAGGGTTAGAAAGTTCGATTGATACCGATCTCATGGATTACAGTTCTACCAACGTTGAGTGGAAACGATAATTTCAGAAATGTGCGAGAGAAAAATGGATTATTCGTTTTATCCCGAAGTTTTCCAATGTTTTTCTGAGGAGGAATGAATACCTACAAGTTTAAATCATTCACATATTCTATCTATCAACGTACTATTTGAGAATGCTGTGAAGCAACATTAACTTAAGTTACTGATGCTTTGTTTGATATATTCACAGTTCTGTGGTCATTGTACTGAAAATTATGTTCTATGCATGAGAACAATGTTTTTCATGTTCATAAAATATTATTGAATTTTCAACAGTTTTTGTTCACTTCTTCCACTACAGATGACTTAATCATCTCATTGAATTTTACGAGTTTTTTGCAAGTTAAATTGCCCAATGCTATTGCTTCAGCTATTTCGCTGCATTGTGCTTTTGCAACAATTGCCCATTCAGAGAGAAGTAATGTAGTGCAAACTGTAAAATGGACTCTAAAACTGCTGGCAAAAAGTTGTTTATCATGCAAATATTGTTTCGACTCAATCGACCGTTCGATTTCATTCAAGTAATGGAAACTACTTTTAACTTTTAAGACTTGGTTCTTACAGTTGATACGAAGAGGAGTTAGTATCGCTACTGTATTAAATATTCGAATAAATATTTATATAAAAACTCGATCACACCAGTTATAATTCGTATCGTACAATCCAATATGGAACGCGTCGATGTCTTGTGTAAACAGTATCGAAACAATAGTTTTATTGTTTTTTAGATACCTCATTCCATTTGTTTCCACGTTTTTTTTTCTTTACGGCCTCACTTTTTACTGCAAAAGAGTCACCACATTGTTTCTGACCGTAAAAGCAAGTTCAAGTAGTTGTTTTGATATCATCATGAGCTTTATTTGTATTTTATATTACCGTTAGCCAGCTTTACTGGATGAAACGACTTATTAATAACGTTGTGGAAGTAGTCTCTGAATACATTAGACCATCCATTCTTCCTAGACACAGTCCTCGTTGTTTATTTATGATAATAGTCCGTTGAGTAGACACGTGTCGTGTAGGACCACCTGGGAGATGTTATTGCCAAAAACATGTGTTTCCTCTTCATTAGTATAAGCATTTAGTATTTCTTTTCTATCCCATTTAGCAGAATGAAACAAAATGTCGTCATCTAATCTCGCTTTACCAATGTCATCAAGGTTTGTTTGCGGTAGCTTGATTCTCGATTATTGCTTGTTCATTAGTCAGCCAGGTCAATGTACTGTTTGTTCATTTCAAAACAACTGTATTTTCATAGCGTCAGATTGTATTATTAGTACAGTACTTTCCGCATCACAAACTACTGCTAACAATGTCCATAATCATAGTTTATTATGCGTTTCTGTTGTCTTTAACGACCATTATCGCTTTGCTACGTTGCTTTACGTAATTCAGCTACGTCAAGCGAAATAGCAATAAAAAATATAATATGTACGGCATTACTTTAAATTCTTACGTAAAAATTTGAATACGATGCTTTATCATTGTATTGTGGTAAACCACTTTGTGGCTGAGTTTGACATAAAACATTTTCTAGGAATGTTACTGTTCTTTTCTGAACCTTTAAATGGTACCTTAGTAAATTCATCACTAGTTGGTTCAACCAGCGATACAGCTTTGCTAAAACAGAATCATTTTATGCCTTATGTCGAAATGTTAGTCATTTGAAACGCCGTCTGTACTCCGTACTCCATAAACACGAATTAGGTTAAATATTTAATCCTACACAGTTATATGTAGTGTACATAAAGTGTAATGATGTGTGTAGCGTAAATCTCGGACGATCTACGGCCGATGAACGTACTCGACCTTGCGGCGGCATTCCGGCGCGTCCCGACCGATCGACGTTTAACTCGAGTTCGCAAACGAGAAGTACCATAAGAGGAGCTTGTATTTACCTCTTGATATAGCTAGACTAGATGTGCTGTACAGAATCCATCTTTAAGATATCATTATTTCGTTGCCACTACCTTAATGTTGTGAGTGACATGTTCAAGAACGAAAGCAGATTCTGAAAATTTTGTACAGTTTGAAATATCAGTGCCTTTAGCCAAACGCCACTTTAGCGCTTGTCTACAGAGAGAGTAGAAAACTAAATGTATGGGGATGACACTGACAAGTGCCAAAATTTACGTCAATTCCATATAATTTGTAGACAAGCGCTAAATGCTGTTTGGCTACAGCTGCTTTATAGAAGACTGACAAGTAAGATCTCGGATCTCTCATTGTAATAGTTAATGAGGTTTTAGTATCAAACTAGAGATTGTGGGTACAGAAGAATTTGAAATCGTTTGTTTTTTATTAATTGGTGTTCTGGCATCCATACGACCCTCTAAGCATAATCAAAGTGTTTCAGTTGTTGCTATCGGATAAAAAATTCGACAAAAATTCTTAGCACTATCTTAATGTCTAATAACATACCTATTATAATTTGCATGACCATCAGGTTATGAATCTTGCTTGACTTCTTTGTGTACACGTCATTCAAGAATTCGTACGTCTTTTGTTAATATATTACAATAGACCATTACTATCTACGTATTCTAAGATGATTGTTTCGTAGCCATTTTGCACTTTGGACTGCCTCTATTGCAAACACGAGTAAAAGTCCAATCACTGGATAGAGTAGAGCATTATTACATTTTGAAAATATCATGTTTCTCGTACTTTTCTATCTGCTTTTCGACTAGCATACGTAAAGTTCTGTGTAGTAGACCTATCTATTCAACTGTGACTATCATTGCAGACATTTAACACTAAATGCCGAGGTAAAGTGAAAGTGTTGCTCAATCTCATTACAGAATTTGTGTAAGTACCTAGGTTATAGATTTTAGACCTTTTGAGGCTGTATATGGCTATAACGCTTTAAGATCATAGCACATCACACTACCCCAAAATGTTTTTAATACACTTTCAACCTTATTAACAAAACTATATAAAGATAAAAATCGATTAAAGAATATTGCGTCTGTACTTACCATTACTGTGTAGACGCAGTTTGCTGGTCCATTAGACCAAGAATCGTGTAAATGAAGCGTAGATTTCTAAGCATTTGTGTTTTCTACACCTGATATCTTTTCAAAGAAAACTATCTCCAATATCATACAGCTGAACGGTGTTTTTTGCTTGTACGCACTTATTTGTGGAAGTATCGGTTCGATTTGAAAAATATCTTTTGATAGACTGTCAACAAGATGCCGAAAGATCCTGAAGGTGTAGGTAGAATGATATTAACATTTAGTCATTCCATTTT